TAGTGAATGTGAGTGTTTATGTCAGTGTGTGTGTTTCTGTCAGTGTGTGTATGGTATGTGTTTCTGTCAGTGAATGTGTGTGTCAAGAGTCAATGAGTGCATTTGTGTATGAGCCAGTGAGTGCGTGTGTGTATATATTAAAGGAACAGTATAGGGTCAGGAACACAAATGTATTCCTGGCCTTATAGTGTAGGGTCCCTGGCCTCCTCTTGCCCCCTAAGCAAAAGGGGGCCAGTGTAATATATACACTATATACACACTATATATTAAAGGATACACTATATACGCTATATATTAAAGGAACAGTATAAGGTCAGGAACACAAATGTATTCCTGGCCTTATAGTGTAGGGTCCCTGGCCCATAGTTAAGGCGTACTATGCTGCCCTGCACACTATGGGCTTAAACACTGTCAGGGCAGCATGGTTCATCCTAGCAGTCCAGCTGTCAGAAAGCACGAACTGAAGGAGGGAGCAGACAAAACTACCGAATGATGCTCCCTCGCGGCTCCCACAATGCACAGCATAGCCACATCATAGAGTAGTGTTTACTCTGTGATGTGTCCATGCTGGGAATTGTGGGTACCGCGAGGGAGCATGATAGAGACACATTTGTGTTATATTTCCAGTCTCTCACGTGCAAGGTCAGCCTCGGGAGAAAGGGAATAGAGACACAAGGGGAGGGGGAGAAGGAGACATAGAGACACACGAAAGGGAGGGGAAGAGAGACACACAGGGGATAGGGGATAATGAAACATGTGCAAGAGAGAGACACAGGGGGAGGGAAAAAGAGACAGAGGCGGAAGATAGAGACTGGGAAGAAAAGGGGAGAAATGGACACATAGGAGCAGTGAGGGGGAGAAAGAAACATACCGGTACACCATATAAGGGAACTTGATTGACTATTTACTCTTGTTTGTTGTCAAATGATTATTAAGATTACGGTACATTAATAACAGAATATTTTCGGTAAATTCTTATCTTCAGAAAAATGAGTTTTGCAAAGAAAATGAGAGCTTCTTACACTGCTGCACTTAAATTGAAAGTTATTGAACGTGCAAAAGAAGCCAATAATAGCGTAGCTGCAAGAGAGTTTAGCATCAGTGAAAAACTCGTAAGAGATTGGAGGAAAAATGAGGCTAAATTGCAAGCCATGCTGAAGTTGAAGAAAGCATTACGTTTCAAAGCTACACCTTTTGATGGAATGGAAAAGGATTTGAATGACTGGATAATGGAATGTAGACAAAATGGGTATGTTGTGACTCACTCGAGCATTCGAATACGAGCACTTCAGATAGCAAAAGAAAAATATTTGGCGACTGAAGGTATGACAAAATTTAGAGCATCGTCTGGTTGGTGCACACGATTCATGAACCGATATGGATTGTGTCTTCGTCAGCGAACAAAGATCGCTCAGAAGCTGCCTAAAGAGCTGGACGAAAAGGTCATGTCATTCCACAAATTCATTATCAAACAGAGAAAAAAGAATGGTTTCGCTCTGAATAACATTGGTAATATGGATAAAACTCCGATGACATTTGATATGCCTGGCAATCGAACTGTAGAAAGCGTTGGAGAAAAAACTGTACTTATAAAAACAACCGGTCATGAAAAGTCACATTTCACTGTTGTACTGTCTTGCCTGGCAGATGGCACTAAACTGCGCCCGGTAATAATATTCAAGAGGAAAACAATGCCAAAGAATTTAAAAATTCCGGCAGGAGTAACTGTTCGTGTTCACCCTAAAGGCTGGATGGATGAGGAGGGTACAAAGTTGTGGCTGCGCAATGTGTGGGGCAGGCGACCAGGCGCAGCGCTAAGAAAATGTCCGTCGTTATTGGTATGGGATATGTTCCGTGCGCATATAACAGAGGATGTGAAGGATGAAGCAAAAAAAATGGCAACCACGTTAGCAGTGATTCCAGGCGGCCTAACATCAATGCTCCAGCCACTGGATGTCTGTCTCAACAAGCCTTTCAAGGACCGAATACGCAATATGTGGCAACAATGGATGTGTTCTGGTCAAGCAAAGTTAACGAAAGGAGGAAACTTGAAGAAACCAGACATTGATTTGATATCAAAATGGGTAAAGGATGCTTGGGATTCAATATCACCAGAAATGATCAAGAAGTCGTTCCTGAAATGCGGAATTAGTAACGCTATGGATGGATCAGAGGACGACGCCATCTATGAAGAGAAAGATGAATCGGCTTCATATGCCAATTCAACAGATGACGACAGCGAAGACGACGTTTATGCTGATGGCATCACCGAAGAACAATATCGTGACTTATTCGGACATTCTGACGATGAGTCAGAGTTTGAAGGATTTGTATAGGCCAAACAATGTTTGTGCTATTTTGGAGGGCATAACTAAAAATTCCCTGTAATAAGTTTAAGGAATTCGTTACAGTTAATAAATTAAATGTTCATGTTCATGATTGCTGATTTTTATTAAATCCAGTTTTTAACTGACATGTTTGATTGTTCCAGGATCTTAGGTAAAATCTGACAAAATTATAAAAAAAATAAATAAATCACAGAATTTCATAGCCCCAAGTTTTACCCTCGACTTATCCACGAGTCATAGCATATTTCTCAATTGTTGGTCACAAAACAGCACTTGACTTATACACGAGTATATACGGTAATCCATATAAACTAACAGATCACATAACATTTCAACAATTTCATCTCTACAATTATCCGTACTATAAATCAACTTTTGACTAACCAACTATATCACATTCTAGTAACCTCATCTTTACAGTCAGTGGTTATGGTACAGTTAGTAAGTGGTTATAATACAGTTTTAAAGTCACAGATCAGTTAGTAACAGTTATGGTATTATACATATAACATAAAACAGCAATTGTTAGTAATTTTACACAATGTCAGTGGTTATGGTACATGTCAGTAGTTATGGTACCGTGCGCTATTTTACAGTTATACACACAATTTACACTCCCACTAGACAGCAGAGCTCTAACTTTCTAGTAGGACATACAAGTTAACCAATTCACCAACTACAATATATTTAACAACATTTACAATAATCCCAACTATTCTAACTGGCCAGCACCTCGAGAGCTTTCGATCTATTTATACACCAGAGATTCGATAAGTTCTTCGCTGCCCAGACACCACGTATAGCGAACTAGAGGGCAGAATTTACACAGTACCCAGCTAGTCTATGAAACCATCAATAATCTAGTGGCTGCATTTACAACAGAGCACACTTAGTTAAGATAGGGTGAAATCTAGCAAACTATAATATACAACAGAGTATGCTAGTCTCCCGGTCCCCCCGACCTAGCGAACAAAATTTACACCCTAGATACGCTAGTCAAGACAGGACACCGGTGTCCGACATGAGCTATTTACACCAGAACTCAGTCTGACAATACCACCTATATTAGACGGGCTGACTACAGAGCGTCTAATTTCCAGATAAGCTTTGCGCTTGCGCTTCTTCCTTCCAATGAAGGGGCCAATACCAATAACCGGTTCCAAATATAAAACCCCTTGTGGGTCTACCGCTCTAACGGTATCAATCTTACCTGTTAGTTCCTGGACCTGGGTTCACTCATAGACGGAACAATCCGGGACTCACTGCGCAGAAGCCGATGATCTCCTGGACAAAAGGCCAGTGGCGCCGAGACGAAAGGAGGTCCACGCAGTAGAAGTCCAGGATTGTAGCGTAGAAGGTTTGGTAAAAGTTTACCGTCTCAAATCTCTGCGCCAGCTTCCGTGCGATGAGGTTCCCGGCCAATGCACCAGAAATGTTGCAGTGTAAGCATGCAGAAGCCAAACACAGAGATATTGGACACAAGTCTTCAGGAAGTAAGAGGCCTTTATTCACATTACCGATCGGGTCTCAGATGAACTCCTGTTCCAACATTCTGAGAGACATATACCTGTGGCTTGGGACTTTTGTTAACTGCATATCTCCTCCCATACAGTATAACCCCTCCTATATTCCTCAGACCAATCAGTGAGCAGAATATAGACTTGTACATCTAGTCAAACCACATGGCTCATCCAAGACAAAGGAAATAAGTGCAATTTCAGTTCCTGCATTCCTGCACATGCTCAGTACACTGATGACAGTATCCTAGCTACGTGTAGCTAACTAACTGACACAACATACACATATGTCACATGGAGATTTTGGCCTACTAAATTTTGACCATGCTGGGATCCCATCACATTATATTATGCTGCCACATGTCATAGGCTTCATTCTGAAGACTATTTTCTGTGCTTAGTTGATACCTTTCCAAACTACATAAAAGCTTTACTAGAAAACAATTTTAACCTAATAATGAAATTCTCACATTCATAGCCACTCGGTCCCATATACTCTGTCTAATTTTATCTCCAATTCTTACGTTGACCACTAGGCGTGCAATTTCTGCAATACTTTTCTAACAGGTGTAACAATTTTGGTGCACTCAACGTCCTGTAGTCTTAGGATACATAATATGCAGAGTAATCAGCAAATTTTCTGATTACAGTGAAAGATCCTATTTTTAATATAACCGGCACGGTTTTTCAATATACGCATAGCGGCCCAAAGCCTGATCACCATAGTGATGGCGGACTTGGCTGAGCGAACAGAGGGTTTTAACAATTATTTGCACCACCATTGGGTGAATTTACCACCATTATACATCTCCACACCCCTTAATGAACAGTGTTTATGTGAAGGCCCACAAGTTTAAAATGTTGGTTGGGTAGCTAGGTATTCTGACTCCAGCTCTATTACTGTTTTGAGGCAACACTTTTTGTACAGATGAATTGTATATTTATGTACTGGTGCAGCACAATCTTTTCACACTTATTAACCCTTGAGGATCTATCCATTAGTTTCAATGTCACAGTTTTTACCACATAGTATAAAGTAAAGTCTTGTCATGTACTAATCAAGTTATTGTGTTTTCCAAATATTGTAAAACAGAACATCATCACTACCAAACGTCACGACATTTTATTGGTATCTTTATTTGTTACATATTTACATCCCTACAAACAAACACTTGTACTTTTGGCGCAACTACAATCTTGTTCTGGCAAGTCTATAAATCTTGTCTCCACGTTGGCACAGCCCTGGAAGACAAAACAAATTACAATATTTTACCTGAATGAAAATATACAAACAAAAACTGAGAAATGTATCAGTGTAGTGTATGGCAACATTCATATTTGGTCTCACCGGTGTGGAATATGTAATGAAGGACCAGTCGCTTCTGTTGGCCCACTCTCTCTACAACGTGCTTCCCAGCCTTTTGTAAGTTTACAAAGTCTAGCAGGATCTCTTTCAACGTGAACTTGGACCTATTAATAAGACGACAAAAAGTGGTTATAGTCGAATAATTTAAATATTTCCAAGACGTTCTATGGCTTACTTCAGAACATTTATAAATCTAAACTTTTTTCTATATAAAGACTAGGTAACAGTAAAGTGATGCTGAACTGTAAAATAAAGTAATGAAAAAAATATATATATCAGTTTTTCCGGTTATATAAAATGGCCCTTATGTATTAATGCCACTGAAAGATAAAGGTTGGAAATATGTGAAAAGCAAGAGTGTGCCTCTATCAGCAGTACATCTCCAACCAATTAGCAGAAACTGTCAGTTGATAAATTTCACTCGCTGTTACAGCAATAAAAGAGGGTTTTTTTTTGTTTTTGTTTTACAAGTAATCAGTACACAGGAACTAGATAGTAAGTGTCACAGATCAGCCTGCATACTTCAGTTTGAAGCATCCAGTAGGGGAAAATTGCATGGTAAAAACACAAAACAAACCTCTATTATGGGGATCAAAATGTGCAATTGGGGTACATTGGTACCTGCAGGGATTTAACCTCTGCTGGTACTTTTACTGCATGATGGTCTATGCCATCACTGGGCATTAAAGCCTGTACTGCATGACAGCATAGACCGTCATGTGGTCCTTATGTGGTTAAGGACATGGAAAACAGAAAATCTTGGAAATATCTGCTCCTTTATAGCGCAATGGTGATGTCAATAACTTTCAAACAACAGATTGTAATTTACCCTAAATTTATGATATTACTAAGGGATTAAGGTTTGAAATAACAAAACATAGAAACATAGAATGTGACAGCAGATAACCATTCAGCCCATCTAGTCTGCCCAATTTTCCAAACACTTTCATTAGTCCATGGCCTTATCTTATAGTTAGGATAGCCTTATGCCTATCCCACGCATGCTTAAACTCCCTCACTGTGTTAACCTCTACCACTTGAGCTGGAAGGCTATTCCATGCATCCACTACCCTCTCAGTAAAGTAATACTTCCTGATATTATTTTTAAACCTTTGTCCCTCTAATTTAAGACTATGTCCTCTTGTTGTGGTAGTTTTTCTTCTTTTAAATATAGTCTCCTCCTTTACTGTGTTGATTCCCTTTATGTATTTAAATGTTTCTATCATATCCCCCCTGTCTCGTCTTTCCTCCAAGCTATACATGTTAAGTTCCTTTAAACCTTTCCTTGTAAGTTTTATCCTGTAGTCCATGAAAAGATTGGCCTCTAATGAAAAAATTGAGTGTAATGGTATTTGAGATAATGGAAAAAAAAAATCAGAGTACCTTTTCTTTTAACTTTGCCAGCCTCCTCTCCTTTTCTGCTTCTAATTCTTCTCGTGCTTTGTTTTTTTGTGCTCTTTCCTCAAGTTTCCTTTGGTCCTAGCAAATAGATTTTATCAAAAGTTATGCATTTCTTTTTAGACTTTAAAAAAAACAAAACAACTTTCTTTAAAAAACAGATAAGTAGTCACGTTACTACAGAATAAGTGGAACAAGAGTCAACACATGACATTTACAACATTTTTTTTTTTTTTTATCTAAGCAGTTATTTGTATAATAAAACTAAACAAGCTCAGCCAGTGACAAAAAAACAATAACAACTAATATCAAAGTCTTAAGATACCCAAAAAAAATAAAAATTAATAAAATATATTCTAGGCACACAAATGAGCTGGAGAGGGAGAGACATAGAGGGGTTGGAGGGAAGTAAGAAACACACAAAGCTACTAGGAACCATAAGAGACACACAATGGGGTGTAAGACACACAAATGGGGATAAGATACACTAAAGGGGTAAGACATTAAAAAGAGGTTTAAAAATAAAACAAAACAAAAAACACACAGGGGGTAAGAAATTCAAGAGAGGAGTTATGTGACACACAGGTGAAGATGCATTTTTTGAGGGTGTGGGAGGCAAAATGCATCTTCATCTGTGTAGCCAATCATTCTTGCACTGGTCCTAACTAGACCTATAGCTGAGCACTTGAAAATCAATCACACAACAAATAAAATAAAATAAAAGCAAATATGAACACTCTATAAAATCTTATGCAAACCCTTGAGAAGATACTCACCATATCTTGAAATCTTTGTATCTGAAAACAGGCCATCCTCCTCTTCTCTTCTCTTTCCGCTTCTTCTCTCATCTCTTTTTCCAGTCTTAGAAATGCCTCCTGCTCCTTTTTCTTTCGTGCATGTTGTTCCACTAAGAGCTTCACTTCCAGCTGACGTTGGTACTCCTTCCTCTGTTTCCTTTGTTGCTCCTCCTCTTCTTTTATTTTCATCTCATGTTTGGTTATTTCCTCTATCTCTTTCTTTCTTTTCCAGGCTTCTAATTCCTGCTGTCGTTTCCTCCTTTCCACTTCCTGTTTCTGTCTCAGAGCTTCTTCTTGCTGATGGCGATCAAACTCAGACAATTCCTGCTTGACGTGCAGCTTCGACATTTCCTCTTTTTCCAAATGTTTCTTAGCTTTCCATTTTTGGATAGCCTGAAATGCCAAACAAAAAACACAATGAAAGGATTGTTGTAAACACGTATAATGTACAGTAAATAAACTTAAAGGAACACTATAGGGTTTGGAACAGAAACAGGTATTCCTGACCCTATAGTGTTTACCCACCATTTAGGTGGCTTGCACCCCCAGTCCTCTTAGAAAAGGTGAAAACTCCCCTTATTTCCAGCGTCATACTGGTCAACCGATGCTGGCTCTGCCCCTGATTCACCTCCTCGGTGACAATCAAAATTGTCTATTTTTAGCCAATCCAATGCTTTCCCATAGGGAAATCAAAGCATCTCTATGAGGAATCAATGCATCCCTATGAGGAAAATTCAGCGTCCGCTGAACGGCAGTGCTGCCTACTGTGCAGCACTGCCCCAGGAAGCACCTCCAGTGGCCATTTGAGGAGTGGCCACTTGGAGGTGTCCCTAAGGGGCAACGTAAACACTGCCTTTTCTCAAAAAAGGCAGTGTTTGCATTAAAATGCCTGCAGGCAATGAATATACTCACCAGAACAACTACATTAAGCTGTAGTTGTTCTGGTGACTATAGTGTCCCTTTAAGTCATGATACACTGAAAACATTATCATAGATTTTAACATAAAAGAATTATAAATTATACACTTACAAATAAAAATGTGAACACTAACCAATAACTGAATATACATTTTGTACAACTTTTCTAGAATGGTTTTCTTTAAATCAACCTCAAGGACCCACCAACAATACAATTTTAGGACAGTCTTCCTATATGGGCTGTGATCCATCAGAAGAAATTAAAACAGGGAGATTAACTGTAGCCTCTATTGTCCCTTAAAATGGAACTGCATTTAATATGGAGACTATTAGGTATGATTTTATAATCGGCAACCATTTTATAAGCAGCGGCCATTTAATAGTCAGCCGCCATTTCGTAAGCATTAGCTATTTTAAATCTAATTCTATTTTTTTTAGTGTACTGCTAAATAGCTGTTATAGTCTTTTATAAATACAGAATAAAATATTAAGTAAGTTTTATTTGTTAATCCAAGCGTTCTGTTGCATCTACGAACAGCTGTTCTCTAAAAGGGGAAGTATATGTCCAGCAAGATACTTTAAGTATATGTCCAGCATATACTTTGAGGAAGGAACAGAAATACATTCTGCAAGTTGATCAAATATATTAAGAAACAACGTCTACAATTAAAGGACCACTATAGTGCCAGGAAAACATACTCGTTTTCCTGGCACTATAGTGCCCTGAGGGTGCCCCCACCCTCAAGGTCCCCCTCCCGCCGGGCTGGTTGGCGAGGAAAGGGTTAAAACTTACCTTTTTTCCAGCGCCTGGCGGGGAGCTCTCCTCCTCCTCTCCGCCTCCGATCCTCCCTTCGGCTGAATGCGCATGCGCGGCAGGAGCTGCGTGCGCATTCAGCCAGTCTCATAGGAAAGCATTCATAATGCTTTCCTATGGACGCTGGCGTCTTCTCACTGTGATTTTCAATGAGACAGCCACTAGAGGCTTTAGAGGCTGGATTAACCCATTTATAAACATAGCAGTTTCTCTGAAACTGCTATGTTTATAAAAAAAAAGGGTTAATCCTCGAGGGACCTGGCACCCAGACCACTTCATTAAGCTGAAGTGGTCTGGGTGCTTAGAGTGGTCCTTTAAAGCAAAGATGTACAATTATATTCAGCTGTGAATAATCCCCGGGGAAGAATTTCTTCTCCAACAGAGACCTATTCAGTTTTGATTAGATATCACAGTGATTTTATGAATGAAACTATATCGTTGTATCATATGAAATATAATAAAAACAACTCAAATAGATATATGTTTTCCCATACAATGTTTTTTACCTCTCTTTTTTTCCCCTCTAATAAGAGGAACTCCTTGTACCAGGTTTCATGTTGCTGGACATCCTCTCTTGTCCGGCTAGGGAGATACTCCATTGCTTCTTTTAAATAAGTAGGCTTGCCTTTGTGTTTGGTCCAGATTTTGAGAAAGCTTTGATGGTCAAAATCATCCCATCCTCCTCCACGGCCACCAGACTGTTGTAAAAATTTTTCAAATATTTCTACCTCTTCTGGAAGCTGACTTGAGATTTTGCTGCATGACATCACTTTCCCAGAGGGTGCTTTGAAAACCTCTGGGGCGGTGTTCTGGGATGCCTCTATTTTCCGTTCCAAGGCACTCAGTTCAGCAATGGTAGACTTTTCCTCCTTTAATAATTCCTCATAACTGAAATAACAATAATGTTATATCAATTTCATGCAGCCCATTAATTTGTCATTACGCAAACGTGATTCATTTTGTACTCTGGATCAAAAAGCTCATTCAACTGCTGTTTAGGTTTTATGATGATATTAAAAACTTGGGGAAGTGAATATAATATCAAAAGGCACACGTCATTTATCTTGTGAGCTTTAATAATGCAGACAGAAAAATCAACAGATGCTTCCCAAGCTTCGGTGAGGGTCAAAAGTTGGATACAAAAACTACGGTCTGGCTTCATCTTCTACCAAGAGATGGTTAATGGTGCAATGCTAATCTGGTTCATGCCCACTTTAAACCACAAGTGGTACAAATTCTGATAATAAAAAAGGGTCAGACTTAAACCATACTGGGAAGACTAATCTGCATTTTAATTTTGCACTTTGAAATAAACAAAATGATTAACCTTTAATATTTTGAAATACTTCATTAAAAAAAATAAACAAAAATCTATACATATATATATAAAAGTACAAAGGAGAGCACTCATTGCATTTTCAATCACTTCCTACTTTTATTCACCGTACAGTTATGTTACATCAACTTTTTGTATACATATACATATATATATATATATATATATATATATATACACACACACACACACACACACACACACACACATCATGCATGCATCTTTGGGGGGGGTAGGATATATTATCTAAAAACAATTTACAAAAGCTGCAGTTCTCTTGTCTGCAGCCTTTGCAAGCCATCCCCTTCTAAGCCAGCCCAGAGTTCTGTGTCTGCCCAATCACAGACTTGCCAATGCAGCTCAACGAGAGGTCTTTGCAAGGCAGGTGCTTTGGGCAATTACCTGCCTCTTAGGTTTAGCTCCATAGAACTAAACAAACCAGGAAGTAACAGGACATGTAGTCTGTTAGAAAGCCAGGGTGTAACACAGTTAATTTATAAAAGTGCCAATTCCTATTGAAATGTACACTTTTTGTAAAATGAAAAAGAGGGAACACTCTTCATACATAAAGCAGCAGGCTAAAATGCTTTAGGGGTTCAGAGTGTCCCTTTAAGCTAAAGTTGTTTTGGTGCTACGACTATCCATTTAAGCACTCCTAACTTGGTCCCCCAGAAATTCCTGTCGATGTATTCATACCATTAAGCCCAGATACATTTCTATTTTAATTTATACTGAAATATGCACTTTAATAAATTGTCAAAAAATTTGACTCCAGACACACAAAGCAAGGATCTTTGAGCCATGCAGATGGTGCAGCTACATATTAGCTTCCAGGAAAAGCATTTTGCATTTTAAAGCAAATACAAGAGAACTTGTGATGCCTTTTTAAATATTTTTTGTTTATCTATGTAACAATGTAACATTGGTACTGACCTCTTTCAGCATTGCATGACTATGAACTTAAAATGAGGTTAGTAAGCTCTTCAGCTAAAAGTTATATCTAAGTAAAGGTTTTTAAAGAAACCTAGCAATCTCCAGTTCACATGTAAAAATAAATAAAAAAAAATAATAATAAAAAAAAAAAATTATATATATATATATATATATATATATATATATATATATATATATACACCCCTACACCTACATGATTCTCTGTTCTTCTTTAAAGGCAATTATAGCACTGTCAACTTCTTCCACCATTACTCGGAGCTTCTCAACAACTATAGGATAAATACAATAAAATACTTTTTTACATTACATTGAAAAAAAACAAACAACACACTGTACAATTGCAAAAAAAAATATAGCATTGACTTCACTTGTGTATTGCAATCATATGTATAGTAATTCAGTTGTGCAATGGTTTCTATACAACATGTTTATCTGTAGGAACACTTTATGTTCCAATTTGAATTATGCAAAATAATAGATACTTCATTGGGTGATTTCCAGTCTGAGCTATCCATTCAGTATACACTTATATAAAATAAAACATAAAACAACTTTTCTGGTTGTTATCTCCCAAACCTTCTTTTGATTTATATGTTAACATTTATGGATTATGTTTTTGTGACTCATAATTTGTTTTACCTGATAGGAAGCATTGTTTTATCATCAAGTGTATATTTTTAAAAATATCTAAACTGCACTGCGTACCAACAAACTGTTGCTGCACCATTCCTATACGCCCATATCAGGATGCAGTCCTGTGTATTTTACAATAGCAAGTGTTATTTAAAAGAATCACCACTGCTGGGAGTGATGGTGTGCAGTGACAAAATTAAGATGGGGTATTATTTAGTGGACTGCAGAAAGCAAGGTGGTGTGTGGATAATTTAAAAAGAACAAAATACGAACCTCTGCTAGTCATAGATGTAAAAAAAAATTTTTTTAAAAATAGTGCAAATAGTTATCTTCTTACTGAAAACGTCAAATGTACTAAAGGGGTTTTAACAACAATTACATACAAACATAAAAAGCATGCACTAGACAATACACATTTTAATAATATTCACTGTTACAATCATGCATATGTTTATTACGTAAGGGAACAGTCCACTCCTATAACAACTTCAGCTCACTAAGCTTGTTATGCAGGCAGGAGTTAAATCCTTGTACAATGGTTTAAGGTTGAAGTTGGTTCTCAGGCACATGACACAGCTGCCCACCTGGCTTCCTTCCTCTATGGTATGATGATTTTATTTGGTGGCCAGTGATAGAATGAGAGCATCAGCTGAAGGTCTCAACCTATCACTGACCTTCCATTTAAAGAAACATTATGTACAATTTTTCTGAAGGGACAGTCTGTGTGATGAGCTGAGAGTGTCAGGTTGAAGCTTTCAGTCAGTGGCTGCCAAGCTAAACCTTCCTCATGTAGTAGGCAAAGGGGAAGGAAACTAGGCAAAGCTGTGTCGGACTTTGGATTAACGTTGGTGTTAAACCACTTCAAACAGTGAGATGACGCCTGGACATTGCTCCCACCCAGGTTCCAATAAGCTGTTATAGGGGTGGAAGGGTTCCATTAAAGTCAAATGTAATCATGTGTTTCAAACTGGCAATCTGTAATATATAGAGCCCTCTTCAATAAATCAGAAAAGATTGGACACATCGTGCCAAAAAGGTAACCTTAAAGTGCAATTTGTGCAGTCGTAAATACATGAACCAGTAGATGTACTATACGTTAATTAACCTAAAAAGAGGAAAAACAAACAAACAAAAAAAACTAAAACTTAAATAATAGCGCAGCATATATTTTTTCCATTTGAATTTTTTTTTATTTCTTTTTTCATTTAAAAGGTAGGGATACGGGTACAGAAACAGAAAAGGGGGGAAAGGCGGGTCATTCATGGTACAATGCGTTGCGAATACATTCAGATACAATTGGGTACAACTAGATACACTTGAGCAACATAACACTTTTCGTATAGGCAGAGAATTAAAAGTGGTTGTTACCATATGATACTATAGCTTGTCATCCGTTTAACGTCGATATGGTTCTCATATGACAAGAAAAAGGAAACTCAAAAGGCTGGAAAGTGGGAGGGGAGGAAAAGACACTCCCGTATCCCACTGCCGAGCCTCCAGAGTATAGAGGTCACCTGGACTGGTAAAAGGGGGTAACCCTGGAAATTGTAGAAAAAAAAGGAAGAAAAAAACCCAAAAAGGGATGTGGATAAAATTCTGTCCCCAGTAGTACAGAAGCTACCATCTTTCCTTAGAGATACTAAACAAATGTTGCATTTATTGACCAACCTTACTTCACCTCCAAACGCTATCCTGTGTAGCCTTGACGTGGAGGCCCTTTACAGCTCAATTCCTCATAACCTAGGTATTAAACATACCCGTCAACTATTAAATCTTGAAACTGACCTACCTGAACATTATGTGAATTTTGTGATGGAATTACTTGAATTCATTTTGACTCGTAATATCTTTCTGTTCAATGGCAAAATCTTCCACCAGACCACTGGTACAGCTATGGGGACGTCTTGTGCGCCCTCATATGCCAATCTCCATCTAGGCTGGTGGGAAAGGTGTATTAGGGCAGATCCTAAGCTGAAATCATACACTAATCAGATCTTCTATTGGAAAAGATACATCGATGATGTGTTTTTGATTTGGCTTGATACATCAGAGAGATTCAAAGAATTTGTATGTCTGCTGAACAGCAACGATTTTAACTTACGATTCACTAGTGAAGTAGGGGGTCAAAACCTTTGCTTTCTAGATCTAGCACTACAGGTATCTAAAGAAGGCAAAATTGAAACAACCTTGTACAGAAAGAAGACAGCCTCAAATAACCTGCTATGCTGGTCTAGTCATCACCCCATATCACTCAAATCCGGTATCCCAATAGGCCAATATTTGAGACTTCGACGAAACTGCTCCAAGATGGAGGAGTTCAAATTAAAAGCAAATGAGCTGCGTCACATGTTTAAGGCCAAAGGTTACCCAAATAGGGTTCTGAAAAGAGCCTATCTGAGGGCAATCCACACTGAACGGGAAACCCTAATTACAGATGGGGGTCGTAAGACTGAGGAAAATAAAATACGCTGCATAGGTACATATGATGCAGGATGGGACACTATGCTGAATGTCTTTCAAAAATTCTGGCCTATCCTCCAATCAGATAAGCATCTGAAGGAAATTCTGCCATCACTCCCTTCAATTACAGCACGGAGGGGCAAAAACTTGAGAGATATCCTAGCACCTAGTCACCTCTCAACTACGTCCCCGTCAGGTTATTTTCAAAAATACCTACCAATGGGTTCTTTCCAATGTGGTCACTGCAGTGCATGCCCGTTTATTACCAAGAGGGCCTCTGACAGCAAGGGCTTAATGAATTTCAAACCACGTTCCTTCTTTAATTGTAACACAACAGGAGTAGTTTACCTACTGTCTTGCTCCTGTGGCCTAAAATATGTAGGCAAGACTTTTCGCCACTTCAGGCTAAGGATACGTGAACATGTAAATTCTGTCAAGAGACGTTTGGAAACACCTGTCTCAAGGCATTTACATCTACATCACAATCACTCCTCGGCAGGCATCCGGTTCATGGGTCTTGAACATGTACCACAGCCTCCTAGGAAAGGAAACTGGGACCTAAAACTAAGACAAAGAGAGGCGTTTTGGATTTGCCATCTCAAAACGCTATCTCCCCTGGGGCTAAATGAAGGGTTTTCATATTCCCCGTTTATTTAAAGTACTGCAATAATTCTGATAATAAATGGTATCTTAAGTTATGCCTGTATATATGTATATATTCTTTATTTATTTCTATTATATTTGGTGTTCATATGTCCATTAATTTTACCTGTATTATAGGTCTAAGAGTTTAGGGGTCTGTTTTGTGTTGCATAAACTAATGGGTTACTATTTACAGTGGCAATAAAAGAATTGTCGGCTTCTGTGTATGACTGCCCATATAGCCATTGTACTTATCCCTTACTGGTTCACAACGGTTATAAGTTGTTTCTTTAATTGTACTAAAGCTACACAATACAGCCATAAGAATCAATCCACACACTTGACCTATATGATACAATTTGGACATTCCAAGGGTTAATTGTTAAGCTATGGATACTGCCTTTTAGATATAGTAAGTATCCATTTATATCTGTTCCTGGGCGGGGCACTCAAAGGGTTAATTCCCTTTCACCTGATTTCTGTTCTGGCTACCTCTGACATAGAAATGTGGGCTGACACTATGGTGTGTTACACCACACCCCCACAGCCCCATTCGCAGGAGGACCGGAGCAATTTAGACACAATCACAGGTGATTACAATAAAACTTATGAGCTTAAGGTATAAATTTACCACCCGGACAGTTTTTTGCTCACTGCTGATACCCCTGAGGACGGCGTGTGGTCACGCCGAAACGTACGTCGGGTTCTTCTGTGTTTTTAATACTCTCTTGAGCACTTTGCTCTGAGCACCTTTTCATTTATGTTTTTCTAGTATGTGTGTGTAACCTGGGGCTTCAGATGTTATGACAGCATTTAGATTAGAACACCCACGAAGGTGTTTTATAGGAGATAGGGTATTAGCATAGCACTACTGTTTGGTTGGGAGTGTGTGTTTCTCCCTTTCCCTGTTCTTTCCTACTGCTTTGTTACCTGAGTTATGTATGGGGGTACATATTGCCTTCTATCCCCTCTCCACTTCTTGTGAGGGTTGGCTCTTGATTAGCCTTGTTCCTACCATAAATATTTCTCCCTATATTATTCTGTCCATCACTGATTACCCAGGTTTTTTAATAGATTTCAATAAAGGATTTTTTATTTTTTATTTTTTGGCAACTACACTACTGTTGAGATTGGACTGGGTATTTACCCTCTGGGCGGTCTTTATATAAGACATCCCTTTTTGGGGTTTTTTCTTCCTTTTTTTCTATGGTTCTCATATGGCAAAGGGATGAGGTATAGTCGACCCCCTTCCGGTACCCAGCCAGTGAGGTCAGAGGTTGGCTTACACTCTTCACATGAATTACATTGAAATTACAGTGTTCACAAGGTGCCCGATCTCCATGTGCTCCAGAGTTCCCAATCTTTTTCATAAAGTGTGGAGGGGGGGAAGAGCGATGTATAGGCAGTCTCATAAATCCATTGTTTATGCAGATCTCCGAGTAAGTCCTCTTTTTTTGGGAGGAATAGGGCACTTCCATTTTCTGGCTATTAATTGTTGTGCCGTTAGAATGATATGTACAATCATTTTCAGTTTGTATTGGGGTAACTCTGCTGGCAGGTCCAACAGCAAGTATTTTTTGGGGTAAAGGGAAGAACACTTTTTGTTATGTGTTGTTAGGCCATGAACTTCTGTCCAGTATTGGCCAAGCTGCGCACACTGCCACCAGATATGGTACATCGTGCCCTCGGTTCTACTGCATCTCCAAGTGCAGTATATTTTGACAATAAGCAGGTTTTGGTGAAATCTATATAGAGAGCTATATGAATCTATGCATATTTAACCAAAACCTGCATACTGTCAAAATATACTGCACTATTATTTCAGGGTTTTGTGTTTTTTTTTTATTTTTTATCCTCTTTGAGGTTAATTAACTTGGGAGTATTTATACCTGTTCATGTATATACAACTGCACTGATTGCACATTAGGTTTACTTTTTAGGCATGGTGTGTTCAATCGATATACAAGGTTTGGGAATCCTTGAGTGAATAGAATAGAATAGTAAGCGCTATAATACACTTTTCTTTTGTAACCTCTTTAATATATATCTGTGCAGCGTTAGCTAATATTGCTTAAAATGCAATATATATATATATATATATATATATATAATTTTATTTTTTTTAATTTTTTTTTAACTATACAACCCTACCTTTGCTTTGAAATTCAATTAGTTAAATAGGTTGGTGTCATAAAAATATACTATGCTCTGACAGCAATATCAGCAGGCACCAACTTATTACTGACATAGGCTTCAAATTAATATTTTTGGATAAACTTGCCATATACTTTGTCTACAGAAGTCACTATTAAAGTCTCTGGTGATTAATCATTTGAAGAGTTGGTCCAAAAATAATAAATTGAGGCCACAATATGTGAACTCTGACATCATAACAAGAGCACTAAATGTATCAAATTATATACTTAAAAACATTCTGCAAAACATAAAGGTCATCAAATACACGCACACACACACTAATATATATATATATATAAAAATAAATAAATGAGACAAAAATATTCTTACATTCTGGAGTAGGTTTCACATCTTTTAGCTGTCGCTGAAGTCTCTTGACATTATTGCCTATTTTTGTAAGCTGCTGCCTGGTTTTAGTTTCTACAGAACAAGGGAGTAAAAGAGTTAATATACCAGCATTTATCAAAGTGTTTAACAGTGCACCACTCCATAAAAAAAAAATAGGACTATAACAATAAATGTTCAAACACACAGTAGCACATATATATGATTGCTAGTAAGACGCATTGTCATTCTTCTGAAAACCATCTTAATATGTCCACATCCATGCTACACCCATCAATGAACCTCAGATAATCCCCATCATCCAGTCATTCCATCAGATATTTCACCCTCTTACTATCCATCTAAAGATACCATTAACAAGTTATGACAAATATACTTAGAGTATAGGTACTGTAGTGTAACATAAAAGAGTGGATTAATCCAGCATTAAGATTAAGATGGCTGGTTCGGCTGATACATATATTAGAAGATATTCAAAAGTTCTTAAAAAATGTGTTTTAATATGGAAAGTAGTGCAAAGCTGTAAACTTGTATGTGTCTGTTGGTTTCCTTAATTGTCCCACTTTTGGACCTTTGCACCACTTTTTCATCTCAGTGATTATGGAGCCTAAAGTCACCTGGCACTTGCCTATGTTTCAGTGTTAAACCATTTTAAACAGTCTATTAGTGAATGAGGGTGTCTCTACTCAGCCCCTACTGGATGCATTGCTACAGTGGAACTAAACTCCCTCTTAGCTATACCAATTCATGTCAGCAATGGTATAGGATTGAAAGCAGTCTGTTGATTGGCCAGGGAACCTCATTCAGAGTAAAATTGTTCAAAAATGGTTTAACATTGAACTGGGGTCATGGAACTTCGGGTACAATAACCAGTTTAATGAGAATAAATGGCTATGTTACACTGCGTGTGTCTTTAACAAGCAAATATGCATGTTGAACTTTTCATCTTATGGTAAATGTGGCAAAATAAAATGTTTATTAATAATTGCAAATAAAAAATATATATTTTCAAATCTGAACATCAGGTGAAGTTGGTCTACAACTTAAAACAGCATTCCACCAGCAAGCATTACAACTTTTCCTTATTAATATTTTAAACATGTTGACGAGGAAGTGAGAACAAAATGCTGACTTACTTTCTGCTTTTCTGCTATTTGCCTGCTTTTGCTCATATTCTTCAAGCACACTATATTCAATCCTGAAGTCATTTTTCTTGTTATAGAGATGGTCATTCTTGTCTTTTTCAAAGTTTGCAATTCTAGAAAGAAAAATAAACAGTTTGCAATGGAAGTAGAGGAAGTAAAGCAACAGTCAAACCCAATTTATTTACAAGACTAAATACAACAGAGAATGCTTTTTGAGTAAGGTCTAGATGTTTACTTTGCTCACCATCTCATAGAACTTAATTACTGTAAAGCTGCTAAAATTGTGTCTACGTGTTGCATGAACTTTTCTTTTGATTATCTATTTAAAAACACATATGCTTATTAAAGGGACTCTCCAGTCACCACAACAACCTCATCTAAGTAACTCTGATGGTTTAACCCCGAATGGTGCCTCCAGTGGCAATTTCCAGGTCCCCCAGTCTGCATCCAACTTCAAAATTTCAATTACAGAAAGTGCGGAGTGCTGCTGGGCAGGGGTGCTACCAATTGACTAGTGTGGTCTGCTGATGCTTTATGCCAATCAGAGCTACCGACCAATCAGCAGTTCCCCTGCCCAGTGGCACAACACGCTTCCTGTAACTGAGATTCAGAAGCTGGATGCCACCTGGGGGACCTGGAGATTGGCGATGGAGGCAACTTTGCTGCGCATGCACATTAGGTCTCCCCCTCCCTCTAGTGCCAGGCAAACGGGTTTGTTTTCCTGGCACTGGAGAATCACTTTAAATTAGAGGGGCAAAGGTTTAAAAATAATTTCAGGAAGTATTACTTTACTGAGAGGGTTGTGGACGCATGGAATAGCCTTCCAGCTGAAGTGGTAGAGGTTAACACAGCGAGGGAGTTTAAGCATGAGTAGGATATGGATAAGTCTAGGGACTAATTAAAGTATTTAGGAAATTGGGCAGACCAGGTGGGCTGAATGGTTCTTATTTGTCGTCACATTCTATGTTGCTATAACCACTTCATTTATATTAAGTTGCTATGGTGACCGGAGTGTCCCTTTAAATAATAATCTCTATTGCTTAGCAGAGATTTATCAGCATGCAGCAAATATCTGGCATGCAGCAAATGGAAATGATGTATTAAGTGCTGATCGGGAAATAATGGCACATGTAGCTGCATTTTACTACATAACATCCCCAGAATTACTAGATGGTCTCGAAGTACAGTACCCTCCACTAATATTGGCAATCTTGGTAATAATATCAACCAGAACGATAATGGGTCGATCCCTATATAACCTTTTGTTAATTTTTTTTTTTTAATACTCTCATGGATATCAAACAATTGCAAAACACAACACAGGTTTAAATATATTTAAAACAAACACTCTTTTTTTAATATGTATAAAGCACAAACCTCATGGGGCATGGGGTACCTAAACCAGATCCTCTTTATTGGATTACAGATTGGGCAGCAGTAGTGGACCAGCCACTTGTCTTTCTATGTTTTTTCGTTCAGTAGAAATGCCCCTACTCACGGTACAGTGGGAAGTGGCAGGAGGGAGGATTTAACCTCACTTGTACTAATATGGGTGTTATATTTCCTTCTATAGACCAAAAGTGTAGATGGTGGCAGGGGCATACCTGGAGCATTTTTAAATGTATTTAGCAATGAGCAGTGTTTGCATTTTTTTTAATGTATTTAGCAGTGAGTAGTGTTTTTGTGTTTGAATGTAAGCATGTTTTTGTATGAAGTATGTGTGAGTGGATGTAGGGGCATGTTGCGTGTAGTGTTGGCATTTGAATGCAGGCAGGCATTTTTGTGTAGTGTGTTTTTTGAATACCGTATATACTCGAGTATAAGCCGAGTATACATTTTTTGTGCTGAAAAACCCCAACTCGGCTTATACTCGAGTCAGTGTCTGTATTATGGCAAATTACATTGCCATAATACAGACTGGGGGCTGGCAGCGAGCGCTTACCTCTCCTGCAGCTCCTGTCAGCTCCCTCCTCCTCCGCGCCGGTCCGGTCAGCACCTCGGTCAGCTCCCAGTGTAAGTCTCGCGAGAGCCGCGGGGTCATAGTGCGGCTCTCGCGAGACTTACAGTGTGAGCTGAGAGAAGAGCTGCACGGACCGGCGCGGAGGAGGAGAGAGCTGACAGGAGCTGCAGGAGAGGTAAGTAACAACTTCCTGCCAGCTCCCCTCCTCCCCCCACAGAACTGCCAATGGACCACCAGGGAAGGAGAGCCCCCCTCCCTGCCATGTATCAAGCAGGGAGGGGGGACGAAAAAACTAAATAAATTAATAATATAAAAATATAAATAATAATAAAATAAAAAATAATAAAATATTAATAAAACAAAAAAATTATTAAAATAATTAAAACAAATAATAATAAAAATGCCCACCCCCCACCAAGCCTCTGCAACACAAACACACACTGCATCACACACACACACACACTGCACTCATACACACACTGCACTCATACACACACTGCATTCATACACACTGCACTCATACACACTGCACTCATACACACACACTGCACTCATTATATACACACACTGTAAATAAATATTCAATTAATATAATTTTTTTAGGATCTAATTTTATTTAGAAATTTACCAGTAGCTGCATTTCCCACCCTAGTCTTATACTCGAGTCAATAAGTTTTCCCAGTTTTTTGGGGTAAAATTAGGGGCCTCGGCTTATATTTGGGTCTGCTTATACTAGAGTATATACGGTATGTGGTGTGTTTTTATGTAGTGTTGATATTTGAATGCAAGGGTGTATTTGTGTGCAGTGTGGGCGAAATGCTGAGATGTATGCACATATACACACACTGGCACACATGCAGATACACAGACACACAGATGCACACACTGGCACATACAGATACACAGACACACAGATGCACACACTGGCACATACAGATACACAGACACACAGATGCAAACGCTGGCACATACAGATACACAGACACATAGGTATACATATGCAGATACATAGAAACACAGTCATGCAGAGATACACACAAACACTGACACACAGACACAAACACACACACTTACAGAGACACATAGGCACAGACACACGCAGATAGAAACACAGACACACATACAGATACACAGACACACAGGTATAAGTGTGTGTGTGTGTGTGTGTGTGTTTATTGTATGCAGTGTGTGTTTCTATAGTATATGTATACTGTATGCAGTGTGTGTGTATATGTGTGTGTGTATAGTGTGGTGTAGGTGAGTGTGTGTGTGTGTCGTCGTTCCCCTACCTGTGTCCAGGGAGGGGAGACACACTACATTCCCTGGTGGTCCAGTGGCACAGTACGGTTGCCCAGCGAAGAGGGGCCCAGCAGTCTCCACATCCAGCAGTAGCATGTCCTCTGTTCTCGCGATCCGTGAGAGCGTTGCCGCGGTTTGTCATAGCAATAACGATCTCGTGGATTGTGAGAACAAAGGACATGCTGCTACTGGACGTGGAGACTCCTGCAAGCGGCATGAAAATGCGCCCAGGCATCCCCCTAGTGAGTGGCACCCGGGGCCGACCACCCTCCCCTTAGTATGCCACTGGATGCTCAGAATACTCTTGCGACACGTTTTTTTGTTATCCAAATTGTTCCAATGTTCTTATTTTGTAATAAAATTTGCAGTTCTCGGATGAATTTCTGACATAGTGAATAATGTCCAACACTGCAATTTACATTTAAAATCCCGCTCCCGCTTCTATTTTAAATTTTACAAGGGTGGAGTCGTTAGCTTCTTCCTTGTAATATAAAAAGAACTAACTAAATGTCATCCAACAAGCAATTCATTCTTCGTTTCATTCATTGTAATTTGTATTCATTACTTATACAAATGCCCAAGTCTACTAAGTAGGTACAAATAACCAAAGCTCCTGAAAAACTGCATAAACATAACACTTTATATAAATAACCCCTGCAATGTCTCATTTTACATTATAGGATACAGTTGAAAAGCATGACAAACTATTTAAAATAAAGATATTAAAAGTAATTACATATGCAGTATGGTTGAGATTGACGAAAGGGTTTCAATGCCTGACTCACTAGAAATAGACTTTATCCTTGTGTTACTCAGTGAGTGGGAGAAAAGTCGAATTAACACTTACTGATTTTTAAATTTTTCAGCTTCACGAAAAAACTCTGCTTTCTTTGCTTGATCAGCCTTAGTCTTCCAGTTATTAACATGAATTTCCCTTTCACTATTTTCACTAAACCAGCTTTCATCCTGTAACAAAACAATGCCACATCGGTTAAAATGTTATAGTGAAAAAACAAAAAAACAACCCAGTACAACATAAAGCGCAAAAAGGACTCTTTTTCTTTCTGTTTATACTCGGGTTTTTCAATAAAAAGTAGCTGTACCCACACACTCTACCCTCTCAGGTCTGAAGTCGGAAGCAATTTTGAATACCTAAAATGTACTGACTCTTGACTAAATCTACCATATATGCCAATGTAAAATTAGATGTGTTAAGGCCTATATTCGCTAGAAAAGTCGAACCTCAAAATAATGTGCTAGGCTAGACCAGGACTGAGGACTTGCACACTTACAATCTGGGCCGAGGCAAGGCAGCAGAAGTCAAGAAAAAGTCCAGTTTCATGTAAAATTTATAAATGCTGTTTTACTAACTGTAATTTTGTGTATGATACAAACAGAATGGGATTATTATGTTTCTACTTCCAACTCCGCTCATTCAAACCGAAGATTTAATTTAAGCACAATTATTTAATATGTTGGAGCATTTCATTATTTTAGATAAAATGAAATCAAGAACAGGCAGTAACAGAGGACACGTGGCAGCAACATTTCCAAACTTTATTTAGGCATATATCCCAGTATAAGACAACTGTGTTATTTTATATTGGAATATATGCCTGAATAAAGACTGAAAATGTTATCCTCTGCTGCTGCCCATTTCTGATGTAATTTTATCTATGTTAAGAGGGGTTGGCGGTACCCTTAGTGTACCCAAAAGTGGATACAGTGAATTCTGTGTGTGATTTCTTTCTATTGTATGACAATGAAAGGGTAAAGCCAACACTTTATAAATGATTGGGATTTTAAATGTAAATTGCGGTGTTGGACATTATTCACGATGTCAGAAATTCATCAGAGAACTGCAAATTTTATTACAAAATAAGTATATTGGAACAATTTGGATAGCAAAAAAACGGGTCACAAGAGTATTCTGAGAACGGACAGCAATTGAAATAGCCTGCCCTTCGGTGGGTCCCCGCTTAAATCGCAAGCTGATTTTAGCTCATCTTGTGCCATTACAGAGAGAACATCTCTGAAACATATCAGACTGGTCCCACCTATACGGGCAGTCCAGATCCGAAATGCCAGCAAGTTCCCTCTGCACGAGAGACACAGCAACCCCAGACGACCGTTTCAGCCTTGTTAGACATCATCAGTGAGGCATAGCTGATATCTCTCTAGGCACCGTGAACAATTTGCCAAAAAAAAGCAAACTACTATTTTGAACTCAAACCTGCATTTCACTATATAGTCCTAAAAGCGTATCAATTAAACTTAGCTCCCGACTGATTCCTCTCTTGCAACTGTCAATAGTCTAATACTATCCTTACCTTTTTGTGTCATTTTACCCCACTCCCTCTAGCATGTAAGCTAATTGAGCAGGGCCCTCAACCCCTCTGTTTCTGTGCGTCAAATTTGTCTGATTACAATTACATGTTTGTTCGTTCCACTCACTGTAATGCGCCACGGAATTTGTTGCCACTATATAAATAACATAATAATAATAATATAGTGAATAACCTAAACATACTTTTTGTGACATTATAAGGCTAAAGTTCAAGTATAATCTATTCTGTAATATATTACACTTATATGCCATAATAGGTATAAATACACACAGTTTACCATCTTAGAATAAGGCACCATGATGTACTGGTACAATGTATACACAGTTAACACAATAAAAAGAAATATAATATAAGTACACACAGCCTGTTATGTGCAGGATGCCATGTAAAATATATCTGTAGCCAGTATGGCCACTTTATTAGGTTCTCCCAATAGACATACTCTACCTGCTCCCCACCAGCCTCCTTGGTCTCGGATACGGGGGACACGGTTGCTAAGGAAGCCATGATACTGCTATAACCTGCAGGGACGTCCAACGGCATCTGGGAGGGACTGGGGGAAGAGCCTGAAAGACAAAACGCAGCGGGCCAATGGGGAGGGCAGCCAGAAGCAGGTGTATGTGGGCGGACATGGCGAGTTATGGAGGGAGGGTGCCGAGCATAGTGAATTAGCTCCCTCCCACCATAACAACCACTCCTCTAGCCCAACATCACTCGCCCTCACGCTCCAAGTATACCATGTTGTGCACTCACTCTGCATAACTCGCCCTCATATACTATAGTCATACTAAATGCTATATTTATATATGTATAGTATTTAGTGTGTTGCACCCAGTACCCGTTTTCGTTAATAATGCTCCCATGGTGGCTTACAGATGTTTAAAGATGAAGTTAGGTCCAGTTATGAGTTGTGGTTGGATTGTACTTGTAGATAAAGAACATTAGATTTCCAATATCGAATGTCACTAGAATGTAGAATGTCTAATGCGTACACCATTTGTATAAGTGTTTCATCACTTCTGTCAAACTGTGTATTTAAAACATAAAGGGAAGACATTTGATTTTTAGCTTCTAAAAACGTTTTCTATGTAGCCTCTAATGCTTGCATGCAAGACTTACAGGGTTAAAAGTGAGAATTCAAATTGAATTTCACATTTAAAGGGACACTATCGGAACCTAAATCACTTTATCTCGTTGAAGTGGTCTGGGTGCACAGTCCCTGTTTTTCTTTTTAAAACCTGCAGCTGCAAACATTAAATTCAGATATAGAAATAAAGAAACTGTAATGTTTATATTGCAGGGTTAACACTGCCTATAATGGATGTCTACCAGAGAGCCATTATAGGTGCTTCCTGCTGTTTCGTTGAGTTTGAGTGTGCATGAGGACATCCAGCATCTTCAAATGCTTTCCTATGGAGAAGACCTAATGCACACACGATCACCGTGCACAGCGATGTATTTAACGCGAGGCTAACGAGGCATTTACCTTGGGCGGTACTTTTCAGGGGGCAGCAAAAAAAACCGCTACCCCTAAATGCCCAGGTAAATGCCTTCTTAGCCTTGTTTTAAGGGGGGAAAGCTGAAAAGAGACTTGCATCCATCAAGTTCAGCCTTCCTCACATATGTTTTTGCTGTTGATCCAAAAGAAGGCAAAAATCCCAGTCTCAAGCGCTTCCTATTTTGTAACAAACTAGGAAAAAAATCCTTCTTGGTCCTAAAGTAGCAGTCAGTTATCTCATTGGATCAAGCAGCTATTACCCCACTAATTAAAAATGATATATCCCTGTATGTTATGTTTTGGGAACTATTTATCCAATTGCTGCTTAATCATCTGTATGGACTCTGATAAAACCACCTCTTCAGGCAGAGAATTTCATATCCTTATAGTTCTTACTGTAAAATAAAACCTTTTCTTTGCCTTAAATTAAATCTCCTTTCTTCCAGCCTAGATGCATGACCTTATGTCCTATGTATAGCCCTGTTTATGAATAGATTTCCAGCTAATGGTTTGTACTGGCTCTGAATATATTTGTATAATGTTATCATATCCCCTCCGAGGCGCTGTTTTTTCAAACTAAAGAGATTTTTTTTTTTTTTTAACATTTCTTTGTAACTAAAGTGCTCCATTCCTTTTATCAATTTTGTAGCTCGTCTCGGCACTTTTTCTAGTGCCACAATATCCTTCTTTAGAACAGGTGCCCAAAATTGCACAGCATATTCAAGGTGTGGTCTTACCAGCAATTTATAAAGAAGCAAAATTATCTTTTCATCCCGAAAATGTATGCCCCTGTTTATACATGACAAAACCTTACTGGCCTTAGCAACTGCAGATTGACATTGCATATTGCTGCCTAATGTATTGTCTATAACAATTACCAAATCCTCGTGTGTGGTTATCCCTAATTTACTACCATTTAGGGTGCAAGTTGCTTGTGCATTCTTGACCCCGAAGTCAGTGCATAACTTTGCATTTTTTTACATTACATTTCATCTGCCATTTTAGTGCCCAGTCCCCCAATCTATATAAATTCCTCTGCAGCAAAACAATATCCTGCTCACAGTGATGCCAGCATCCAAAATATGACGTCACTCCAGCCCCAACATCTCTAAACAGTGCACAAGGAGCAGACGAAGAAGATTACAGTCAGTTACAGCATCCACACTGGACCCCAGGAAAAGGGTCCACTTCAGCTCTCCCAAAGGTAGGAAGATTGTGTGGACTTAAAAAATAAATAAGAAAAAAAAAGAATAATTTGTGAGTGTGTGAGAGAGTGTAAATGTGTGTGTCTGTCAGTGTGTCTGTCATGGGAATTTCTGAAATACACTTTAAGAGCCTGACCAGGCCCCTTTCACATCGGCATGCTGGGAGGATGTGAGATCAGATCACTTCCTCCCAGCTACAGGAAGAGCCATGTGGGAGCGAGAGTAACCCCTGCAGTAGTGGGAGGAAGCACCACAAAAGGAGGGGGAGAGGCCCAGCTCCAAACCCACACTCCCATCAGACTGAGCCAGCAGCAGGACTCCAGGTAAGCCTAAAAATTCTGTATGTGTGTATGTATTTGTGTCAGTGAGTGTATGTGTGTGCCAGTCTGTGTGTATCTGTGTGTCAGGGTGTTTGTATGTGTCATAGTGTGTGTATGTCTCTGTGTGGTTGTGTCAGTGAGTGTATCTGTGTATCAGGGTGTTTGTATGTGTCAGTGTGTGTATCTGTTCCTGTGAATGCCTGTCAGTGTGTCAAATCAGTGAGAGTCTGTCTGTCAATGACGTGTGTTTGTCATTGAGTGTGTGTGACTGTCAGTGTGTGTCTGTCAGTGATCGTGTGTTTTTCATTAAGTGTGCCTGTGAGTGTGTGTCTATCAGTGAATGAGTGTGTGGATATCTGTGAGTATGTTTGAATCAGTGAGAGTGTCTGTCTGTCAATGACTGTGAGTGTGTAATTGAATGTGTGGTGTGTCAAATCAGTAAGGGAGGGTATCTGTCAGTGAGTGTGTATGTTAGTGTATGTATATCTGAGAGTGTGTGTATATCAGTGAGTGGATATGTCATTGTGTGTCTGTCAGTAAAGCTATAGGTTGGTTAAACAGTATGTGAGCCAATGACTGTGTGTCTCTCAGTGAGTGCATGTATATCAGCGAGGGTGTGTGAAAATATGTGTTTGTTAAACAGTGTGTGTGCCCATGAGTGTGTGTATGGGTCAGTGAGATTGTGTGTGCTTAAAGGACCACTATAGTGCCAAGAAAACATACTCGTTTTCCTGGCACTATAGTGCCCTGAGGGTGCCCCCACCCCCAGGGTCCCCCTCCCACCGGCTCTAGGGGGAGGAAGGAGTTAAACTTACCTCTTTCTTCAGCGCCGGGCGGGGAGCTCTCCTCGTCCTCTCCGCCTCCTCTCCTCCTCCTCGGCTGAATGTGCAGTGAGAAGCGCGGAAGCCCTCTAGCGGCTGTCAATGAGACAGCCACTAGAGGCTGGATTAACCCTAATATAAACATAGCAGTTTCTCTGAAACTGCTATGTTTATAGAAAAAAGGGCTAACCCTAGCTGGACCTGGCACCCAGACCACTTCATTAAGCTGAAGTGGTCTGGGTGCCTATAGTGGTCCTTTAACCCCTTAAGGACCAAACTTCTGGAATAAAAGGGAATCATGACATGTCACACATGTCATGTGTCCTTAAGGGGTTAAAAGGATGAGCTTGAAAGAGGTGGGGCTCTAAAAGGGAAAGGCGGAGCCTAAAGCGGACGGGGTGGTATTTTCCAAAAAAGGTGGTTCTAAAACAGGAAGAGGTGCTTCCTTCACAGGAAGGGGTGGGGAATCTTTAGATTAGGGTGTAGTTTTGACAAGAGAGGCACAATACCACTAACATGGGGCTGAGGTGATCACTTTAGTGCATATGGACATTATAATGTTAGGAATACAGTTTTGTTTTCTAAATGGTATAGTGCTCCTTTAACCCCTTAAGACCAAACTTCTGGAATAAAAGGGAATCATGACATGTCACACATGTCATGTGTCCTTAAAGGGTTAAGGTCAAAATAGTCATACTGGAGAAATTCTCCAAATCAGACGTGCATTGTATTTGACTATTCTGGCCTGACATTTTAGAGAGTCCGGTTCCTGCATCCTTTTTGCCATTTTGCAATCTAAAAAGAACAAAATATGTGATGCACAAGGTATAGATAAGAACTGGGAAATTGCTGAGCCGAAGAAAGAGGCCAGTGGTACAAACATCCCTAGTGCTGCACAGAGAGTGGGCCTGCTAGAAGAATTGGCAGGTAGGTTTGATGTGAATGCACACCAGGCTGCTTGCCAATCAATAAGGCCAGCCTACCGATGGTGGTCCATACAGGTAGCGGTGTTTCTCTTTGCAGGGTCCTAATGCTCTGAGAATATTGCAAGGACATCTAATGAAGCGCCTTTGTCCTGAGGATAAAGTTGGGATGGTAAGACAGCACCCTAAAATCAGGTCTGTCCCACCAAAATTGGGATTGGTTGGAGAGCCTGGTAATATCATAGGACAAAACAGGTAAATTTGTACTATTCACTGGTTATTCACTGCTTGCAGTTACTTCATATATTTTGGTGATTATTATGTAGTTTTATTTGATCCCAGGGTTTCAGACCCCCCTTTTTTCCAGCCTTGGCTCTATATCTACCTTTCACTTGTACCCCTTGTAAAGCTCTCGAGCCTTTTTCCTCCCTCCATTACTTTTTCTCTTATCTGCCGCTCTGCTCGGCCGGCTAATTCGCACCTTCTATGTTCCCCTCTATGGATCCATATGTATTCGCTGTTTTCAACCGAACATTCTGTTCTTTTTCCGTTTTCTGTTAGAATCTCGCGAGATTGCCGGCGGCCATTTTCTATCACTCACTCTCCTTCCCACTCCTGGTGGCCTCTACCTATCTGCCGGTCTGGACCCTGGTGAGCTCCCTAATTTATCTCCTATTAGCATAACTAGCCTGGGGTGATTAACTCCTGCTAGTTGAGGCTTCCTCTCTCAGTTTAATCTTATTTAATTCATTTAGCAGCTCCTATTTATTATATAAAAATTTTTTTACTTGTGTCTTTGGGATACTTAATATAGTCATTATGCCTAAATCTAAAGGGTCTGCTACCCCACTTCCCCTTGGGGATA